CGACCTGATAGACCGATTCCCAAGTAGAACGATCATTGACGCCAGAGCTCTAACTTCATGAGGGTTGGAGGCTCTTGGAGGATCCAATCCTGCTGCTTTGTAGGCCCGTAGTATGACAGTTCTGATCCAGCTTGATATCTTAGTGCGGAAGACCTCTGTCTGTGTCGCTGTCGATATCGTGACGAAAGGACACTTGAAGTTCCGTCACCTGGACCTTGATCTTTGTCGGAAGACTTCAATGCTCTCACTGGGTACAAGGATAAAACCTGCGTATCCTGTGGTCCAAGGGCTGATGATAGTGTTGGGATGTGGAACTGTCTGTCTGGAAGACCTGGCAGTAAATTCTTGCTATGAAGTCCCATCTCAGTCCCATATGCACGATGTTATGATTATCATCAAACCGTGTTATCTCGAAATTCAGAGCATGTATTTCCGACATCCTTGCTGCTGTTACTAAGGTTATCAGGAACAGCGTCTTCTGCGTCAAGAACTCGAATGATGTTCTCTGTAATGGTTCGTAGATCTTGCTAGTGAGATGTCGTAGAATTACATTGAGGTACCACGCCAGAGCTTAAATTCTCTGATGTTGGTCCTCCAATTAAAAGGGCATAGTAAGGCCAGTAACTCTGGTACTTTTGTCAGTTGCACTCGTCCTCATGGCGATAACTGAACTCGATGCCGTTAGGTATGTAGAGGGTGTTGACCCTTTTAACCGCTTCCTTTATCTAAGTGATAAAGGTAGTCCATCACTTGAGGATGTGTCACTATCATGGCTGTGAAGTCGATCCTCGAAACGTATCATTTGTCGTCAGACAAGTTGCGTGAAGACTTGCGTAAAGCTAGTGTGACTGCTTTCGCTGCTCTGGCGAAATATCCTCTCTTGTTCAAGCATGCCTTGATGCAATCCACACGTGTAGCCGGAATACCTCTGGGCCGTGCGCCTACTTTGTGTGAGGATGTATTAGTAAATTCGTCCGCTCTGGTAGTTGCAGTTGAGGCAGTCCTAGGTCTTGTATGAGAATAGGAATTCATATTCTCGCTGGTCAAAAGGGCGTGCCCCAAATAGTTGTGGGTCTCTCGCCTGACTGATTTCTGCAATACCCTAGGTATTAGAGCTGGTGGAGAAACATGTAAGTGTTTAGTCCTAGGCAGGAGATGCTTCGCATGTCCGTTGCCCCTGTCCGTGGATCTGGTATTGGTGAGACGAATGTTATCAGTTGACCCTTGTGGGGAAGAGGTCTCTTAAAGGTTCAACCATCTCTTATATGATCTGTTTGAAGATCTCTGAATGTAGCATCCAGTCTGTTGAGAATGACTGCATTGGACAGGATAGTGTATCTGCTAACACATTCTTGGTTCTTGGAATGTGGCATGCTCTGCTGTGGACAGTCAGGTTGACTGTTATGCTGATCAACTGAAAGCAGAGGTCCAGAAGGTTCGCCAACTTTGTTGATCCTTCTGTGGATGTAGACCGTCACTGTGGAGGTGACTGTGTGTACCGTCAGATGAGCATTTTACAAAAATGCTGATCCGGTGGAGTATGGCGTTTATCACTGCTTTCATTTCCAGTATGTGGAAATGCAGATCGTCTCTGCTATGGTCCATATCTCGCCTGACTCATTGTTGTCAAGGTGTGCTCCCACTCTTGGAGAGATGCGTCCCCATAGAGATGCATCTTGTACTGAGACTCCGCTAATTAGGTGCGTCTGCAACCCTCCTATCACGGAGTTCACCATATATAGATATGGGTTATAACCTGTCCGGATCGTCCGGTTGTACATCTGTACGAAAGTGAAGATCTCTATATGGCCATGAGTCTTTTAATGTAGATATATCAATCTATGTGAATCCCGTCCTGGATTCCGTCTGAAGATTGGAGCTAATGATGAATTCTGACAAGCGTACCTCTCTTGTACTGTATTACCTGTCTTCAGTCTGTGTACTGACGAAGATCTTTCCCTTCTAGGATGACGCTACTTCGTGTCCTAGTTGAATAACCTGGAAGATCTGCGTAGTGATCTGCGTGGTGGTCGGCTTGCATGTAGATAATCGTCTCGTAGTCCGGGATTGCCTACCTGGCAATATATATGGAAATGGTGATTCCCGTGATGATCTGTGAAGCGTCGTTGATGCCCTTGATGTAGGTAGTCGGCCTGAAGATCCTTTATTAGGCTCTTCATCTGTTGACAGTCTCTGAAGATAGCGCGCCGTCCTTCGTGCAAGTTGTAGACGATAAGTAGCGTTCTGTTAAGAAGTTAAGTACTGCGACGTCTCTGCCTTGTGGATGGCCTGTGCGAATGCCTTCGCACAGGCTCGGTAATGACATGTAGCGTTCTGTTGAGAATCTAAGTACTGCGGCGTTTCTGCGTTGTAGATGGCCTGCGCGAATGCCTTCGCGCAGGCTTGTAGACGGCATGTGGCGTACAGTTGAGAGACGAAGTACTGCGATGTCTCTGCTCGCTGGAGACCTGTGTGACGACCTGCGTGAAGACCTTCATGGAGACCTGCGCGTAGACCTGCGCGGAGAACTGCGCGGGGATCGGCGAGGAGATCGACGTGGTGAATAGCCCGACGAACTGTGCCTGTAGGGTGACCTGTGGGTTCGCGAAGGTGCTGGTGAATCCCTCGACGATCTATGGGACGAAGATGTCTTGTATACTGTAGCTGACGTCATTCGCGAAGGCCTTCGCGAAGGCTCATCTGAGTACGCACTTGGGGAGTGGCGACTGGTCCTTCGCGAAGGCTGGTCAGAGTCAAGGTCCGGGGGGATGAGCGATTCTTCCTTCGTGAACGCTTCCGTGAACGTTGATCATCCGAGTCCGTATCAGGTGAAGATCGTGTAGCCCTTCGCCAAGGTCTTCGCGAATGCTGAACGTCCAGGTCCTCCACAGGGGTAGGCTGGGTCTATCTTCGCGGAGGCTGGTCTGTTGAAGTTCTGACATCCTTCGCGAAGGCCTTCGTGATGCTGGTAGAAAACTCGCTGATGGCAGGCCCCTCAGAGACGACGTCTGTGTTGGAACCTTCGCGAAGGCTCGGGACCTCGTTGTTGGCTGTGACTTCTTCTCCAGGCCGTAACGCTGCTCCATCATCTCCTGCATAGAGTCCCCCGGGTTGAAGGTCTGCGGTGGTAGTACCGCTGCCCTTTCTGCGGTGATAGCGACGTGGCCCACAGGACGTCCTCTGTTGTCATCGTGGATACCTCGGGTACCATGGAGATCTGCGCTGAAGTCACCGTAGCTGACACTGGTCGTTACTTGTGATGAACCTCTGGGAAGATGATCGGTTGATCATCGGAGAGTCCCTGTACCGTCAACGGAGCAATCTCGGCAGAGAAAGTCCTTGTAGTCTGCGCAGACGTCCACGTAGAGTTGATCGTCATCTGAGGGGTGTGTAGCCTTCTGGGTAGAGGATGGCGCCTATTCGCCGCCTCGGCGATGATTGTAGAGGTGCCCTCTCTGCGCTGATAGCGATATGGTCCGGGGATCGCTCATCTGTCGCCCTCGGACTGCGCGGCTGTATCTCTGGGATGATCAGTAGCGCTCATCATGAAGCCCTCTCTCACTGCCATCGGGATGATGTCTGTGAGGCTTCATTCTGCGTAGAGGATGGTGTCTTCTTCTACGTCTGCGTTGAGGGGTTGTCCGATGTAGAAGCCAACGTCTACGAAGTAACATCCCGCGCCCGTCCTCCGAGGATACCTCCGGCAGGTCACTTGATGGTAGTAAGTCGTCTAACAGCAGTAGACAGCTCGTGAGGGACTCAGCCAGTTTAACCATGACTTGGAAAGTCACCTGGATAGTCGATAGTACGTCTAAGTACAGAGAAAAATTATATAATAAATTGAATTTTAATTAAATGCTGATAAAGATTACAGCTATAGCTGGAAGTATATGTTGTTGTGCAGCTAGGGCACAATCAATGCGGGTCTGTAGCAGCGAACCTAAACCTACAACGAAAATAGGTTTTCATGAATTGTAAACATTGAACAAACACGGACAAATCCGTGAATAAACAGTGCTAAATACGATTAAATATCAAACGATATTGTTGAAGGATACTAACTAAACCTCTATAAAAGTATAATAGAGGAGAATAACTAATTAAATAAAGGATATAGTGCCGTATAGGAGACACAGGCGCTCTCACAACCTGCCCACAGGGCGAAGAAGGAGAGAGTGAGGCACGTGGGGACGGTGGCGCCACAGTTTCCCGCCTAAACAGCTGGGAGGATAACTCTTGGCAGGAGTGATTATACGTCTGTTTTTTATTGAAGGGAGCTTCAATAGGAGATACAAGTGTTCCACTACAGTTCGCAAGAGGAAGGAGACAAGCAAATAAGCATGAGTCAGGATAAGGAAAAAGTTAAGATACATGGTCTTTTCGTTTATTTTGCTAAAGCGTTCGACAGCGTTAGACATATGAAATTATGGTCAGTTTTGAAAGAGAAGTGTGTTTCTGCTATAATGATCAGGTCGGTACAGTCCATACATAAGTCTGTTAAAGCATGTGTTCAGCATAATATACTGAGGGGAAAAAAATAAGGGATCGCATGAAAGCACAAGTGTTCCTTTATTTTTTCCTAGGTTTCTTCACAAGCTTTGTATCGCACAACATGTGAAGAAGCCTGGAAAAATTAAAGGAGCACTTGCGCTTTCATGCGATCCCTTATTTGTTTCCCTCAGTATAATTCCGTGTCAGCAAGTTTCCTTGCTCCGTCAGTGTGCATCAAGGTTGCGTCCTTAGTCCACTTCTATTTTCATAAATAAGTTGGCTATTGAGATAAAGCAGAATTTGGGTCAAGGTATTACACATCCAGATATTACACAATTCTTTTTTGTTGCTATTTGCAGATGATATTATACAGACACTGTCATGGGGCTTCAGAGGCGTATTGATGCGTTGGAAAGATTTTGTGTTAATTTGGATCATTGTATTGTAGTCACGGGCCGTTGGCCTACACTCTTTCTGTAATATAGAATTGAAATATAGTGTTAGCGTACCTGCAAATAGAATCCACTGGCAGTCTCTAAGAAAAGATTCAAGCTGGCCTGATTTTCTCCACGCTTCACGTTCTGCAAGAGAAAACATGTTTGTAGTGTTTGTATATGTTCACCATAATCAACCAAAAACCTTTACATTGTTCTTCACCAGAAAACCTTTTAGGTTTGGACATTTGGACAACACATGGACCTACCTTTAGAATACAGCACCACAAACTTTAAAAATACGTCATAATACCCTTTTACGTAATTTTATGTGATTTTGTTCCAAAGCACATTCTGGAAACAATGCCCTATGACACCGACATAGCAACACGGTTGTAAACTCAGTGAGTGTGTATAAGCTCCGCTCACTGATGTTTCATCTCTACTAACTATGTCATTGCAAAGGCCAACGATGTAGAGAGTTTCCAGTAGTTGTTTACCGGTGGATGCGCAATGTTTCGCAAGCACCAGTTTAAAATATTTTTCTTTTTTCGCTAATACGCTCATAGTTATTTACATTAGCAGGTGTTGAGGTGTTATATTTTGTGTATTTTGTATTTTTTTAATTTTGTAAGAATGCATTACACCAGTCACATTCTGCCATATTCTATTATTCGCAGTTTGGTCAACTTAATTATTTAAATATATTTTATATTTTGGTTTCAACATGACTATTAGGACCAAATGAATTATAAATGAGAACTAATATACATATATATGTTTTCAATCGAGTAATTTGCATCATTACACAGAAATGAAGTTTATTAGTATTTTAGTTTTCAAAGCGGTAAGAATGCATTACACTGGTCACATCAACCATTTTGCATGCTGGTTCGGTCAATGTATTCTATTTATTAGGATTATGTCAAGGGGCTAGGGCTAGGGCTAGGGCTAGGGCTAGGGCTAGGGCTAGGAACCCAATATAGTAGGTAGATGTCCAGTGTAATGCATGAGTGCCATTTGTTGCTTTTCCTTTTTCCTTTTTAACACTTTTTTTTACACAAAAACAGGAGACCAAAAACGTCGATATTACCCGTTTAATGTAGAAATCTTGGGCTAATGGAAATTGGCCTGGCACTTGCACTCAAGCCACTTTCATACGCAACTCACCCTCGTGCAGTCACTAGACATGCTTATGTTTCCCTCATTCCTTAGTGCGATCCACAATATCCTTACAGTGTTCCCTACAACACTTTTCTGTCACAAAATCACCCGATGATTTTTATGAAAGCACGTCATTCACGCATGCACCATGAAATCGACGTCACAGGAATGACTCGATAAATTTGCACATTGTGTAACAGTGTGGACGCAGCTCAGTCAGTTAGCTGTCGGGCTAACAATCCGAAGGTTGCGGGTTCACGTCCGACGGATTCTCACAAACTAATTGCTTGCCTTAGTGACACGTGACCTACAGCAGAGAACGTCCTCACGGGAAGTTGTGGTGCTGTATTCTAAAGGTGCTCCCAACACATGTTGATACTGACATTTATTGCTGGCTATCAAATATGAAATGACTTGACATGCTCATACAAAAAATCCAATTCTTAATTGTACTCATATGGCATACATGTAACTGTATAATGGACACCTTCAGATGGGCTGACAACTGACTTAAATCCATTATCACTGTGACAAATTTGAATCAGGTCTCCACAAATTGTTTACCATCACGTTGGAATCATGCAAGACAGTGTCATTATCAGCATCTGTCCAACATTTGATGTGAACGTTTTTTTTACTCATTTTAGATCATGACCAGTAACGTCAGTGTGTTCAATTTTAGGTCTCTGAACTTAACTAGCTTTTTAGAAAAGTTGTCTCAAATGTGAGCAGTTTGCATATGTAGAAAATTATAGAGCAAGGGCCATAACACTGTAATAAATATACTTAACGCATCAATATACAAAATCATTTTAGACAAGCAGACAGACAGACAGAGTTTATTCAGTATTCCAGGGATGAGAATGAAGTTTTTAGAAAAACTCTGAAAACTAGCCAGGGGTTTAGCATCTATTGGATTTAGAAGATTCACAAAATGACCCATGGCCTCATGAAATTCCCGGAATTCCTCGGAAAATTTTCGAGTTGTGATTTCGAGTCGGTTTTCGAGTTGTGCTCTGGGAAATGAAGCCCACCCCTCCCTTTTGAGACTAAGTCCAAATCGTTTCCATGGAAACCGAGAAAATAATAAATACCAAAAATCGGCAAATAGCAAAAGGAACCATTTTAGGTTCTGTTTGATATATCTACCAAGTTTTGTAGAAAAATATTGAACAGGTTTTGAGTTATGCTCTGGAAACGAAGCCCACCCCTCCCTTTAAGACTAAGTCCAAAATGTTTCCATAGAAACCGATAAAAATAGAAATGGCAAAAATCTGTAAATAGCAAAAGGCACCACCTTTAGGTTCTGTTTAATATTCTACCAAGTTTTGTTGAAAAATATGAAACGTTTTTTGAGTTATGCTCCGGAAACAAAATGATTACGGACGAACATTACATGCCGGGGGGATAAAAAGTATTTCAACACCCCATGTTACCATTAACCACAGCAAATCAACTTACCCAAAGCTCACTTAGCTCAGTTTAACATATTATCTGGATAAATTGACCCTCAAGGAATAATTAAATGGCAAATCTAAGCCCCAAAAGAAAAAATGTTGTAAAGATTGATATTCATTCCTGTCACATTACAGAATCATTCCTGTCACATTACAGAACTTTTCAACACATAATAATTTTCTTCTTATTAGTTTGAAGGGACGGATACTACCGACACTTCATCAGCATACATTAGTGCAAAATAGACTGAATATTGCTGGACATTCTACAGTACAACCAGAAATTATTGAGAATTTAAAGATTGTAATTTTTTTATTTTTTACACTCATTACTCACGTATTAAATGTGAATATTAGCAGAACATAACTCCAGATTCAAAGACAGGTGAACATTTAATATTTTGTCAAGTCACCATGGGCAGCAATGCAGGCTTCAATGCGGCGGGGCATACTACTGATCAAAGAAGTTAGAAAGTCGTGGTCCATGCTGTCCCAATATCGGACCACCTCTTCTTTCATTTCAGCAATATTTGTCAGATTTTTCTTATTGACACTTTCCTTCATAAGTCCCCAAACATTTTCTATTGGATTTAGGTCAGGGCTATAGCTTGGCCAATCTAATAATGTCATATTTTGGGTCCGAAACCAGGCCTGTGAATGCTTTGAACGATGTTTTGGGTTGTTGTCCTGCTGGAAAATCCAAAAATTTCCATAGAACACGTGAGCAGATGGAAGTCAATGTCCCTCGAGAATATCTGTGTACGGCTCACTGCTCATATTCCCTTCAAATACACAGAGGGGCGTTGCCCCTAACACAGATATGCCACCCCACACATTAAATTTCGGCTGTACTTTGGACGCTGATACAAAGGTTTTTCAGTTTGTTTGGTCCAGAATTTCAATGTATTAGGAAACAGTCACACAGAACTTTCATCTGAGAAAATCACATTGTCCCAGTTAAAATTTCTATGCTGTAAGCACCTGTTCAACCTTCGCTCCTTTTGTTCAGGTTTCATGATCGGTGATGGAATTCCTCAACTTTTCTGCCAACCCATTGCATGCAGCTCAGTTCTAATTGTCTCCTTACAGACAGCCACAGTTCCTCTATCAATCATATCCAGCCTTAAGTTTTTAGAAACAAGAATACCAAGCCGCCTCCTGTCACCGACAGTCAATTTTCTGGGCCTACCTGCGCCTCCCTGGTGCTCAATGCCATATCCATTTGCAATATTTTTCAAAACATGATAAACAGTGGACAAAGGGATGCCTGTTCTACTTGAAATCACTTTAGCTGATCGGATGTCCTTGTTATAATACTCTAAAATCTTCTCTAAATCATCCATACTGAGGATCACTGAAAATGTCGTCTGCTAGCAAGTAAACAAAGTGGGATAACTCTTCACAAACTAATGAAAAAGGATTAACGAAGTTGTCTCTCTTGAATGAAACCAAGCACTTGATAGCTGGTCAAGGTTGTTTATACTAGAAATCCAATTAAACTTATTCCTAAAATTCTCAATAATTTCTGGTCATACTATAGTACAACATTGTGTGATACTCAATTCTGATAGACTGAAAGCTCATCAAAACCTTACTTAAATGGCAGTTACAGACAGCTAATTAATGTGAACGATTGACCGTGTATGAATACAATGTTGTTTGTAAACAAACATGCCGGACATCGGCAATTTCAACCTCGGCAGCATCTTTGATGTTTTTTAAGTGAAAACCGTATGGTTTAAAGAAATATTTATTGAGCCTAATCCCACTGAAGAAACTTTGAAGCAGGAAAATTTTACAGGTAACAATAATTCGTCAGCAGCTCAAAAGTGGCAATATTCCGCCATGCTTCAAACCGGGTTAGATCTGGCGGGCATGACATAGACAACACACGTCCAAGCCTGTCCGCTTCCGTCCCAGCCATAATGCCCAGTCCTTCCAGTTCCACTTTATCTGTCCATGTTTCCCACATAAATGCTGGCATGTCAGGTCTTTTCCAAATTGGGAATAATAGCATGGTTACCAACAGTTACTTCCATGAATAAAGTTAGCAGCAACTAAACTTTGCGAGTTCACTGCTTGAATTGGGGCGAGTCGATTGTCATACAGTAGCGGAGATTAGTACCGGTAATTCGCTTGAGAAAAGTCAAATAATTATACTTGCTCACAGTATAAACGGTATTTTTGTAATCTATTTATGCTATTTGTTACAAATACAAGCTTATTGGTTCCTGAAATAAAACATTTATGTTGTTGAAAATGTCTTATTTTGTTCATTACATAACCTGTCCTTCAACGGGACGATTCCAAGCAATTTCCAGGAAAAATGCCCCTTCACACCTTGTGTTCTTGCACACCAAAAAGTCCAGTTTTAAAACACTTATCAGTCAGGCTAGGATAAAGATAAAGCGACTCTGTTTTCAATTTTGCGGTCCTTTATCATTGATTTAAGACCACTAAATGAAAATAATGAAGATTTTGCACTGAAACGTGACAGGCCTGTGTCCGTCCTCACAAAAGCTGAGAGTTTTGAGTACATTGAAACATTAAGCTTGAAGAGAGATCGATCATCTGTGACTACTATTTGCTGGAGACTCCCAAACAGAACAGCATGATTAACAGTCGAAAAGCTTCAGAAAAGTCAATAAAGAGACAGTAAAATCAGACCCTTTTCTTCACGAGGTGTTTTTGTATCAAAGCCTGACGTGCAAAAAATGGATTAATAGTAATTTATCCAACAGCCAGCTTGTGATTCAGAGTTTATGTTTTTAGTGTCACACCACTTTTCAACACTTATAAACACTTTACAAAATGACTCAATACGTTACAGCTCTTAGTTGTTTGGTCTTGCACACTGTCAGACTTGTGAAGTCATCTGGACGAGCTGCTGAGAAGTTTAGGAGGCAGTGGGTGTATAATAATCTTTGATTTCAGGACTTCATTTCATAATTCCATCCAGGCCAGGTGATTTATTATGCTTTAAGCTCTTAAGACTGTTGTAAATTTCTTCTCCTTGGAAAGGGACTTTAAATAAAGAGTTGATCTGCTTTTCATCATCACAGGTTATATCTGATGGTTCATGAAAGTGAGATACATAGTCTTGTGGGGTACTTGGGTTAAGCAGATTCTACCGTTGAGAAAACTATGGATTTATTGAAATATTCTCAGTGGTTGTAGTCATGGGAGACTACTTTTTCAAGAGTTTTGGTGAAGATCTTAATAATGCCCTCTGTTTATCAAAATAGGTATTCCTTTTGAACAAATTCTTAAACTGTTTTCTCTTTGTTCAATAGATGTCAGTATCATTTCCAAGATCTCTGTTGTTTCTCAATCGCGTGAACCAACTTATCTTCAACTATTCCAACTACTCATTCCAACCTAGTGACTGTTGACTTGGAGAATAAAAGCCTTCGATGCTGTATGAAATAGATTGATGACTTCATTTATAGATTTCTTAATATCACCATCAATAAATGTCATAAAATAATGATAACTGTCATGAAATAACTTGTGGAATCACCTTAAAAATAAATCATTATTTTCTTCATTTTTTTAAGCCATTTTTCTACATCCATATGTTCATTTTTACTTTCTTCATAACAAATTCTGGCTGTAGATTAGTGTCAGATGAAGAAGTGTTGGTATTACAAGGAATGTCCAACTTTTTGTCGTAATTAAGTCTTAATTTATCTAATGAAGTCATCGAGAGTGTTCCCAATGCTGTTTTGCTATAGCGTAACCATCTGCCGAGATGCATGCAAAATTTCACGAAATCGGTCAAATAGTTTAGGATATATTCACTTTTTAGTGAGCATGGGGTCGGTCTGGTGAAAGGCTAACAATCCAACGTATTGTCGTACTTGTTATATATTATCGAGGTGAGAGGTGTTTTTAGCCGAATGAAACGCAGGTCTCGGAAGTCATCACCTCGCTACCGTCTCGGGGGTTGCTTTGAGCGAGCGCCGTGGACGAGTATAAGTGTGTGTGTCTCTCGGCTCGGCTATGATGATGATGCACTGCAGGCTGACTAGCGAGGCTACAGATGTCTGAAAGGGAATGAAACACAACTCTCGGCCGTTTCCTCCCCGGGGCGGCGTCTCAGTATCACCGAGCGAGCGCTGTGGGCGAGTCGCAGTGTGTGGCTCGGCTTGTACAGCCGACTGGCTGGCTGTCAATGTTATGTTGATTTCCACTAAATCATACCGCATCTCTCGGCAGTTCCCCTGGGTCGACTCACTCACTCACTCACTGTAGCATTGAGCAAGTGCTGTGGGCGAGTCGCAGTGTGTGTGTCTCAGCTCGGCTATTTACCTACAGCTCGCTGAGATGGCTGGCTACGTTATGTTGATGTCCGCGAACAGTTTATTATAAATCTCCTTCTATGATTTGTTTGGTTGTCGTAATGAAGGCTTGTTGGGCCTGTTGCTTTCCTTGTCCTATGAAAATAAATTTCTCGTCTTGGCAAATGACGGCGTTTTTACGAGACTTGGTCCGAATCTCTTGTTTCATTCTGTGATATTTTGCGATTTCTGATAGCACCAAACGAAACTCTTCCTCAGAGATTTTAGAGTCGGTGAGCGCGGTGGAAATATGATCGTCTATCGTGTTTAAATTCGGTTCGGCTAAAATTCTAATTTCGTCGTGTTTCAATGCTTTACATTGCAGTCTGCGAGACACGTACTTAAGGGTCAATCCCATCAACCCTACCACTCCGCCTGTTATTTTGATGCCTAGCACCACGGGTGCGGCCACGATGGTGGATAATAACCCGATACCTGCTACGCCTAATCCCATGATATCTGCTTGCCTATTGCTCAAATTTTACATTTAAAAAAAGAACATAGATTCCATAAATTCTCAGTTGGCTAGACAACATGCTGTCCAGTTACTACTTGATCATCAGAATACAATTTGTTGATATTTGCATGTCAGTTAAACTCATTATTCTTTAAATCTCAAGATGTCTTGTGGCTACAAAAAGTGATACTTTATCATGTCCAGTATCATTTCCTCAGAGTCATTTCCTCAGAGTCCTTGAAAAAGGTCGAATTACTAGTTCATGACTTTAAATGGCTTTAATGTCATTTCTTGGTAGTTTTGATACACTTACAAAAAATATTGAATGCACATTTCCAAGAGCTTTTCATACAGATAAAAAAGCCCTAATTTGCAGATACAGTGTTTTGGTACAATACTGATACATGGTTGTAGCTGATGAGGTGATGGATGGTTGATGGGAAGAAGTCACCCTGGTACCAAGCTAGTTCCTTCCTCAGAACATCAACATCATGTTTGCCATATGATATTTGAAGTATGTAAGATAGATATCACAAGTGAACAGACTGTACAACTACTGGTATTATGATTAAACACCTTAACAAAATGTATGAATATCAGGCAGCACTCACCTGTTTGTCCTTGGCTTGTATTTGCAATATATTAATCTGGTTCTTAAAGGCATGGTTCCACCTGATGAGAGAAATTCACTGCTTTACATAATGTTTTCTCGTATACATAATCCTTAATGTATTCATGTGAGCAACATTAACAGATAGATACATAAAGGCATTTGTGTTACTTTCAGAAATGTGCAAAAACAAACTCATTGTGCATTCCATATACTTGCAACATAATTGTTCTCTAAAATGTGTTTTCAGCGAAATCTGTCATATATAAATAGTAAGTGTGGCCATGTCATTTGTGTAATAGATTCATAAATCTTATGAAAACCAATAAATAGAACTGCTGCATAAACAAATAATGGTGGGTCTGCAAATAACCATGGTTGGCATTTACCGATTATATGACATGAAGTCATACTTTTTAGCAACAATTCATTAAATTGGTAGTGCTATTGTAAGTGTAGTGCTAAATCTTCATTTATGAAGGCTTATATAACATGTGAGACCCATAAGCCATGTGACATAGCAACTGGGAGGCACCAACAGACTTTGCCTCTGTAGCTTGTCTCCAAAACGTACTACGTATTGACGCATGTTATCAGTTTTCATGTGCAGATTTGTAAGTACTCAGTGATGAACATCATCAGCAGAACATGGACATAGAGTTTAAAAAATAACATGCTGAAATTACAATATGTTGCACAATTATTTCCTGTATGTGAACTCACTGCCTGAAGATGGCCTGCTCTAGTCCTACTGATACCAGTGAGTACTCGAAACCATTAAGCATAGAAATTAAATTTAATAGTGTTCTTATTTTCACAAACCGCAACACTATTAATTATACGTATATATGTACTTTACGAAACAAGAAGACAAAGTCATTAATATCCCCCGCAATGGTAAAATACTCCTCATGAATGTGTCAACTAGTTTGATAAATGTTACATTGTTCTTCACATTGAACAAACAAAAACATACATATGTAATCTATTCATATATTAGCATTATTGTATCAACAACAGACTGCCTGAGTACTTCTTCGGTTTGATGTTCCTCAATACAAGAATAGAGTGGTAGTGTTGATTATGTCATTAGGTTCTTGAATACCCAGAGGCGGTGGGGTAGCCTAGTGGTTAAAGCATTGGCTCGTCACGCCGAAGACCCGGGTTCGAATCCCCACATGGGTACATTGTGTGAAGCCCATTTTCTGGTGTCCCCCGCCGTGTTGTTGCTGGAATATTGCTAAAAGCGGCGTAAAACCAAACTCAGCCAGTCTTGAATACCCACAAAGTGGAAGGAGAGTATTGAAAGGTTTTTAAGTCCTGCTCCGGAAAGGGGCCAGGGCTCCAGATAATTTTCCAACCTCAGGAGTATGTACTCCTTTTTTTTCAATATAGGAGTACTGGAAAAACTTTAGAGTACATTCAGAGTACTTAATGGAATTAAGTGGAGCGTGACTACAACAAGACAAACGGTAATATAGTGGTAAGCAGTTCGTTCATTATTCACGCAGTAATTTGATCAAGTCGTCAAGGAACATACCTCTGTAAATGATTCTAAGACTGTACACCGTTGCTGTGGTTCGTATGTCCTACGGTTTCAATTATTTCCTACCGTATCTAGCATATATGTTTTTCCGTACATACGCCAATAAGGTCTTTATCTGTAGCCCTGGGAGCACAACCACCAATTTCAACAGAAGTCAAACTTATTGCCATGGAAACAAAAAAAATTATTTTATTCAGAAATCAAAAACTACCCAAAGGCTACCAGTCTGTTCACTACCAGACCCAGCAATGTGCCAAGTTTGGTAAAGAAACATTGTACGGTTTTAAAGTTCTGCTCCAGAAAAGAGCACCAACAGCAATTTCAAAGTCAAACTTGTTGATATGGAAACACAAAAGATATTGTATTCAGAAATCCCAAACTAACAAATAGCACTAGTTCACCACCAGACCTATCTATGAGCCACGTTCTGGAAGCAAGAGATAGCAAAAAAGGCAATCAAAAATCAGAACCACATTAGAATGTTACAAGTTTGCCAGAATGCAATGACCAATGACTCACAGATCCTGTTCCACCTTTTTGTCCAAGGCATATTCAAGGTCCAGCAGGAGCAGCTTCTTGTACAGGTCCTCCAGACGCTGTCGACTCACCCACAACTCAGAAATTGTCTTCCCTGATTCTGACCAAACAACAATTACGCAGAAATTATAATAAATACCATAAGAGATATTTCTAGGATTCAAAACTAATTACCCCTGGCAATCATTTAGGGAATGTTTTTATTCAAAATATAGATCTGTTTTAAAGTACTGATTTTTATGAATGCATAGCGATTTTAACATTGTACTAGAACACGGAATATAATGCAATAAAATATCACTAATTATCGAAACCTTTTCCTCTTTACTATGAATTTTAAGTGCAGAAGATCTTGAGTTGAATATCAGCCTTTGAGCAGGTCTAAATGGCTATCTTTAGTAGAGCACATGAAATGTTTATAACATATTACTGTCAGCTGCATCAACATGAAGGAATTGAAAAATACTGCAAACCATGAAGTCATAAATATATTCTTTACATAGTCTTTCTGTGAATAAACAGATAAAATAATGACATGCTTTTACGAACAAAATTCAAATTACATGTATAAATATATGATGATACAGGTTGCCATAATACACCCTTCTGGCCTTAAAACTCCATTCCATGTTTATTTTTAAACAGGTTAATGTAGCAGACACTCGGTAAGTCTCAAAGATTTCCTTTGAGTACGGCACTTAATGAGTTCAATCAACAAGAAACAAGAAATGACATATTTATAACACTTATCCTATCTATCATCTAATGGTAGTGCAAATTCCATTGTTCTTCGACCTTAGAGTAGAGATCTTGACAAATCTTTCCAGCCTTAAGTATCACCTTGCCTGAGCACACCCCTGACCTTGCTATTATTGTAGGCAGTCACAAGAAGTCCGTGCAAAACATGCATCTAGCTCTTGACCACATGACTTTCTACTAAGGTCATTCTCTGCTTTGGAGCTGGAAACAGTCTAGTGATCTGTATAGTGGTGTTTGTTCTGTAGGTGTCCATCGTGTGAGATAGGATAAGCATTATAAATATATGCTTCTGAAAACACTGACTTTCAGTAACTGGGCAAACCTGACTTTCATGATTTCACACCATATCATTGCCAAAGGACAATGATGAAGCTTAGAAACTGGCAAACCTGCGTCACTTCATTTTAACAGGCCCAGAATGTAAGGATTCAGCACCAGAGAGTAAGTTCTTCAAACTGCTCCCACAGACACACATTCAGGTGTAAGGTGGAACAGTTCAGTGTCTCTCCTCTAAGCCCACAAGAAAATATAAAATTCAAGTCATTCAAAGATTAACTCAATTTTATTCTTTAACTGAAGACATTGTATTGAATTTGTGACCTTGTCCTGAGAAGATACATCATAGCTGCGGTGACGACCAGATATGTATTGCTGCGCCAGGGCCCAAACTTATGCAGGTGTATGCTCAAACCCATGTTTCATGAAGACTAATACAAAAATAAAAACTCTTAGAAAGGTCGTCAACATCCAACAGCAACAAAGAGGTTCAAAAGTTTTGTCAAGGTAGTTTCCACTCCAAGGTCAAACAACATGGAAAAATGTGAAATAGGATCAGGTTAAAAATGTCATAATTATGCACACAAGTTTCATTTTACTAACATGATAGAAGACATTGACATTCAACTGATCTTGGACTCTCAAGAATATATTTTCAAAGCAAGAGACATAGGGAGATGACATATCCCCTTGGTCAGGTGCAATTACAAGATGAAGTTTGGCTAATTATACCCCACTTTGGCTTACTGCCAGTAGATAACTTTATTTTAGTGAAGTAATTCCAAACAATAGAAAAAGCCAAAGAACACCACTAGACAGATCCTTATAGCAAGTATCATCAGACATATTTCTTTTTATTTAGGAGTTAACTGGAGCACTACTCCATTTTCAGTAAAGTCTAACTTGTCATTATGAAATATAGCTTAAAAATAAACATTACAAATAACCGGTACCTGAAGAAAACAGTTCATCACTAGACAGATCTGGATAGTATGTTTCATTAAGAAATATTCAACAGCATATTCAGTATTACTTCAACTTGTCATGAAAACAAGAAAAACAAAAAAGAACATAAGTCCTAAATTTACAAATTTCATGATCTATTTCTTTGACTAAGGCTGAAACGAACTGATTATGGTTGGAATATATAACTCCTTGTTTTCTTGTTTCGACAAGGTGTTATTGGTAAAAAATGTGTGGTATTATTATCCGAATATTCTATCCACATTAGAAACATTTTAGAAACTAACCTGACAGAGTCACCTTCAAGGTATCTGCTTGTCTGGAAAAAAAAGAAACACAACATAAAGCATAACATGGAGAAGGCCAGTGAAAGCTCAAAAATATCATCATCATCATATTTGATGGAAATAGTGACACAACATTGTATTTCACCAGGATAAGCAGCCAACAGTTAAAAATGTCAACAAAAACACTAAACATACTGACAAATATAAGACAAATATACATGAGCATTTACAAAAAACACCACCTGAACCCAAGGGCAGTTTGTAAAGTTTGGTCTAAAGCAAATGCAAAGCACATGCTTCAAAAGCTATGGGTGAGCATGTTCACATGCTGTGAAGGCACCAAGCATATTGCAGGACCTATTTTGGAATTTATCTGAAAGGGCCCTATGACATAATATGACTGGGCACTGTGTCCCAGCCATAAGGCCCCAAGGGGGTACCAACCAAAACCAATGTTGTCGGTGGGAGGGCACATACCTGTCAACCCCTGAGAAAAAATTGGTTTTTAGGTTATTCAAATATGATTTTTATGTCATTTGGTGTTAGTTTATAAAAATGTTCAATAATGCATAAGTTTAAAGAGGCAATGGGTGAGTGCGTGACACTGAGGTAAAAAGGTGCAAGTCTCATGCAGGATGAGTGAGAGTTGACAGGTATGAGGGCATGGGAGGGAGCACCATTCCATTTGTGGGGATTTTGGGTGGCCTCCCCTAGGACATTTTGGAATTTGTTACATGAGAACCAAATCTAAGAAGGAAATGGTCGATCAAGTGGTCAGTACTCACCATGTCATCAGGACAACATACCCGTGGTTTTACTGATGTAAATACAACATATTCTTTAATCAGGTCTCAGGCGTTAAGTTGTTAAGTGCCATAAGGGATAATGCAATAAGGGCCCCTGATGTTGTTTAAATGCCTATATATGCCTATATGCCTATATGTCTATATACCATATTTCAATGTGTGCGTGGTGCAAGGGCATGGTCCCTGCACTGGGGTATACACTTCATAAGTGCTCTACAGTTTCCTTAACTGATCTAAAAGACGACAGTACTAAAAATAAAATTTTCTTCACATGACAAGACAGACTTTTAGAAAATACATGATGGTAAGTTATTGGCATGCACGAGGCATGGGTGTCCTGATGCAACATTGGTGCTAAGTTGAACATTAACCACAGAGTTGTCAACGCGTGGTGTACGCGTCAACTGGGGAATTAGCTCATAATTAAGATGAAGTGTGCGTTGATGATGACGAAGGCATAGTTGAGTTCAAACGTCTTTAGTACATGACAAACAAATACACAAGACATGAGCGAGGCGAGCGGTGTACCTGCTCAACCCCAGGGCGTTTCCTACGAGCGGCATTATCCTGCTCGTGGTCGTCCCAACAGACAGTCCAAATACTGAACTCGTACTCCTCCACCTGTCTAGATGTGAGCATACTAAGTATATATATATAGTTTTTGACAACAATGGACAGGCGACGACTCATCAATGGACACGGCCAAGGGGGATTACCAATGAAGGTTATAAATGTCTTATACAATAATTAACGGGCTGACAAGTCAATTTACAATGAGGTAGTGATAAGGATGTACAGTAGTGATTAAAAATACAGCTTAGCGTCATATATATATTACAATAAAGTCTCACATGTCTCCAGTACATAGTTTTGGACTTTTTAAATATTTGGACGATGGCTGTCCTGAATTAGTCCCTATAACAGAGTTATCAGTTGACTTGTAAGGAAACATGTGGCTCCCAGTGAAAAAAATCATCCACAACCTGGATGACTGAAGAAGACCAATGACTTTGATGACAGAGTCCTACTTCATCAGGCAAGATACAATCCCATGCCAAAGAATTGTGCCAGCAATGGAGAGTGGGAGTCCAACACTCCATCACTACCATCAGTAAGATGGCTGCAGGCTGCTGGTCTGAAGGCACACTGTCAGATCAGACTCCCTTCCTCGCAGATTGGCAGATTGGTGTGAAGCAGGCTCCAAGAAAACCGCAACTTGAGGACTTGAGGCATAGGTTCAACAGTCTAATGAAATCTCCTGAACATTAAAGGTCAGCAGCTGTTGTTGTGTATGGAGATGTTGAAACAAGGCATATCATCAGGGATGATCCATTCAGCTGAACCCTTTGGAGTTGGCTCAATAATGCGTTTCACATGACTTCAAGTTGGATCTCATCACCAGGGAAACTCAATGAGGCCAAAAAAAATAAATGTTGTGGTTCCGATTTCCTACATTTCAGAACTAGGGTAGGTACGGTTTTGTTGTTTTTTTTGCAAAATATTTTTACACTACACATGTGTCAGAAAATAAATTTAATTTGTTATGTGGTGAGTAAAATCGGCAGGAATATTTAGGGTCGGTCGGGAAATCGGAACCACAAGTTTTTTTTTAGGCCTGATCAATGTTATCAACAGGAAGTCCTGAATACCACTATCATGACACATTTTTATCACCATCCCCTTGCCAGTTGTCCGATATTTATGGTGGACAACTCGGGACTTCACCCTTACATTACCCCGATGTGAATCCTATTGAACACCTTTTGGACTATCTTTGATGCCAAGTTCAAGCTAAATATCATCCTGTGAAATATCATTCTACAAGAATTGACACTCCATGAGGAATGGCAGAGAATACTGATGCTGGGAATTTGACACTTGATTGCCAGTTTTAAGGAGGAAACTGGCAGATGGTGTCCGTGCCTGGGGTAACTTCACCAGGTCCTGATGTGGTCTCCACTGGTGCTTCGTACAATCACAACAATGATTATTGAGAACTGTGTGACAATCAGATTGGTAGCATAGTCATGGTAATAATAATTTCCGACCTTGTTGATACTCACGTTTTTGTGTACTCCTCTCTGATTGCAAGTAAACTGTTAGCAAATTTCAATTTCAATTTTGTTTTTATTACAATCAAAGTAAAATATGTTGCAGTTACCATTCTAATATGAGGATGTAATTTTTGGAGTAAAATTGATATTTTATACTTATCCTGACTCATGCTCTTTTGCTTGTCTTCTTGCGAACATAGTGGAACACTTGTATCTCCTTATTTGAAGCTCCCTTCAAAATAAAATCACTAATTGGTACTCACCACGAGTTGCTTCCCTTTGTCTCCCCTGGCGGGAAAGGTGTCGCCACCTTCTGCCCATGTGCTTCACTCTCTCCTGATTTTGCGAGCCCAACACTTGGACTTACAGGGAAATCCAAAGTGTTATGTGGGGAGGATGGGAGGGCTAACCTCATGAGTCAGGATAAGTATAAAATATCAATTTTACTCCAAAAATTACATATTTTTCCTTATCCTGACTCATGCTCTTTTGCTTGTAGCATCCTACGGAACGGAGGTGGGAGTAACAGAATACTTTGGATTTATAATTAGTGATTTTGTATAGATATACTGTAATATCCCCTACGGGAACTTCATGAAGGCTTAGATTTAGGATGTTTCCTGTATAAAAAACCATAGGTTATATAAAGCCATTAAAGGGGAATTACATTATGAATATATTGAACAATACATATAATATATATATATATATAGGTGACTCTGATAGAGGCACTGAAATTGAATATATCAAAAGTATATGCTTAAGGTTGAATAACTTAAGCTGAACATATATACATAGCCCTAAAACTCCGTAGAGTTATAAGCTAGATAAGTATGTATAAAATACATATTAATCTTGTGAGGATAATATTTAACGCCTACGAGGGACTGTCAGTTGCTGAGCGAGGACCAGTGGTCCGAAATGGTGAATGCCAGAGACATCTTCTGTAGTGATGTCTCTCAGGTAGTGATTAGCAAATACCATGTTAGATTTCCAATAGCATCCTTCCATAATCGTGTTCAAGGAACAGTTACCGTGTAAGGCGAGGGTGGAGGCCAGTGCCCTGATCTCATGTGGATTTGATGCTGTTGGTGGGTCCAAGCCTGCTGCCTTGTAGGCACGGAGAATGACAGTCCTTATCCAAATAGATATTGTGGTCCGTGACACTTCTGTTTGATTCAGAGGCGATAAGGGGATGAATAAACGTTTGAGAAATCTTCTCCTTGTTTTGGATCGTCAGAAATAAACTTTGAGCTCTTACTGGACACAGTGATAGGTCTTGTGTATCTTGTGATCGAGAATAGAGGATAAGCGCCGGGATGTGGAATAATCTGTCTGGTTGACCTGGCAGTTGATTTTTAGCGATGAAATCCCATCTTAATCCGAGGTGCTGTGTTATGATTGTCATCAAACTGTATCCTCTCGTAATCCAGAGCGTGAATTTCAGACATTCTTGCTGCCGTGGCTAGAGATAGCAGAAACAGTGTTTTCTGTGAGAGAAATTCAAAGTTGTTGATTCCAAAGGTTCATAGACCTCACTCGTGAGGTGTTGTAACACTACATTCAGATCCCAAGCTGGGGCGTGGAACTTCCGCTTTTGGTCCTCCAATCGGAATGCTCGTAGTAAGGCCAGTAACTCTGGAGATCTTGTCAATTTGACACCCGTTCTCATGGTGATTACAGAACTAAGCGCGGCAAGATATGTTGATATCGTTGAACCTTTTAAATGTTTGTTTTGGCGCAGGTAACACAAATAGTCTGCCACTTGAGGTTGTGAAGCCTCTCTTGCTGTAAAACCTTTCTTTGCTGCATAATTTTCGAAACTGTGCCACTTGTCGTCGTACAAGTTACGAGTTGAGTAACGTAAGGCAAGCGTGACTGCTTTTGCCGCCCTGGCAGAATATCCTCTCTTGTTTAAACACATTTGTATACAGTCCATACGTGTAGTTGGAACATTGCTGGGTTTCCGTGCACTTGTTTGGTGTGAGGATGAATTAACAGGTTTGCGCGCTTGGGTAGCTCCAGTGCTGGTTGACCGATTTCTTGAATTAGTGTGGGAAACCACGTTCTGGCCGGCCAGTAGGGCGTGACCAAAGTGAGTTGTAGGCTCTGTGTTTGTCTGATTTTCTGTAATACTTGAGGTATTATTGCTTGCGGCGGAAATGCGTACGC